CGGAGCCGGCGCCAAGGCGCGGCCGGGAGCGCGAGCGGGAGCGGGAGGACGAGAGCGAGGACGAGAGCGACATTCTGGAGGAGAGCCCGTGTGGCCGCTGGCAGAAGCGGCGGGAGCAGGTGGGCACGGGTGCGGGTGACGCCGCCGTCCCGAAGCCTAAGGCTGGAGGCCACGGGGCCCTTGGGGTCCGGGCAACCTGACGGTCTCCCCTGACACCCTGGCCTCTGGAGGCCCTCGGAGCTCTTTGGCCCCACGCCCTGGTGAGAAACCCCCATTCCTTGAACACCACTGTCATCCTGGGACCACCTCCACGTGCCTCTTGGATCCCCCGCTACCCTTTCGGGGATCGTCCCCAACCTTCACATCCTGGTCCACCCGTGGACACCACCCCTATCCCCTTAGAGGGTAGATCCCCAGCCTCACCACCCCCAGCTCTCCCTCTGAGCTGGGCAGGGCTGGCAGTACATTCCTGGTGGGGGAAAGGTGGCAGGGACCACGTCCACACCCTGAGTCTATTCGTACTGGGACACACATCCTTCCCACCTAGGTGAACCAAGGGAACATGCCAGGGATTCAGAGCACCTTTCTGGCCATGGACACCGAAGAGGGGGTAGAAGTGGTGTGGAACGAACTCCACTTCGGGGATAGGAAGGCCTTTTCGGCCCATGAGGTAAGGCCTGTCCATACCCCCTTTGCTCCATATCGTGATTGCCCCCACGACCATCCTCCTTCCCTAGGAGAAGATCCAGACCATGTTTGAGCAGCTGGCGCTGGTGGACCACCCCAACATCGTCAAGCTGCACAAGTATTGGCTGGACGCCTCTGAGGCCCGCGCGAGGGTGAGCTAGGGGCGGGTGTGGGGCGGAGTGAAGCCACAGGCTGGGTGGGGCAGCATGGGGACCCACCCGCAACGGCGGAGCCCGCCTGCCCGCAGGTCATCTTCATCACAGAATACGTGTCGTCTGGCAGCCTCAAGCAGTTCCTCAAAAAGACCAAGAAGAATCACAAGGCCATGAACGCCCGGGTATGGGGAGTGGGCTAGGGACTGAAGGGAGTCCAAAAGAACCTAGGGACAGTAGTGGGGTGGGGGGGGTTCACAGTGGCCTCGGGACAGGAGCGGGGTAGCGGGCGGGCTCCACAGGCTCAGCAGCCTTTTGGTGCCCACCCGACGGAGTCGTGCGTCCGCTGCCAGGCATGGAAGCGCTGGTGTACGCAGATCCTGTCGGCACTCAGGTGAGAACCCGGACTTGCCCACGCGCTTGCCCCCTGCTCTGCACCTTTCCGGTGCGCTCTGACCCGGTTCTTCCTGCCTCCCTTCCTCTATGCTTGCAGTTTTTTGCACGCCTGCAGTCCCCCCATCATCCACGGGAACCTGACCAGCGACACCATCTTCATTCAGCACAATGGCCTCATCAAGATCGGCTCTGGTGCTGGCGAGGCGGGGCGGGACAGGGGGCAGGGTTGGGGAACCTGCGGGAGCCCAGGGCAGAGATTGCCCAGTGTGCCAGCCTTCTGACGCCTGCTCTTTCTCTCTGTGTTGGCCATTGCAGTGTGGTATCGCATCTTCTCCAATGGTGCGTGGGGCCTCTGGGGTGTGGGAACCTTGGAGAAACTGGTCTGCTCAGCCCCGCGCTCTTCCTTAGCACTTCCTGATGATCTCCGGAGCCCCATCCGCGCTGAGCGGGAGGAACTTCGAAACCTGCACTTTTTCCCACCAGAGTATGGCGGTGAGTCCTTAAGGGGCTCTAGGGCACCTGACCTGCTGGCAAATGAGACTGACCAACCCTGCCTTGTTCTTCCCATTTCAGAGGTCAATGATGGGACTGCAGTGGACATCTTCTCCTTTGGGATGTGTGCACTGGAGGTACTGGCCACTCTCGACATAGCCTCTTCTCCTCTGGGCTCCAACCCATCTCACCATGTTCGATCTGTTCCTCTACCCAGATGGCTGTACTGGAGATCCAAGCCAATGGGGACACCCGGGTCACCGAGGAGGCTATTGCTCGAGCCAGGCACTCACTGAGTGACCCCAACATGCGGGTGAGGAGCTTACCTTGCTCTTCTGGGACGGGCTGCAGGTGGCTCAGCTTGCCCTTGAAGTGTTCTAGACAGCTAGAAGTCTAGCCTAATCAGTGCGTTTGAAAGTATACCAGCCGCTGCACTAAGGCCTGCCTGGAAGAAAGACTTCTGGGACTCACAGATTTCACAAGGGTGACTGGAAGTAGAGCGTGGGTGTTCAGGGCCCAAGTTTACAGCATCAGATCCTGAGCTGCTAATGGGATGCCTTCCTCTTCTGTGCATCCATAAAGGAAGACTTTGTAGCACCACTGAGGAGGGAGGATGTGGTGATTGGATCCGTGGGGTCTAGGGTCTTCAGGGACCTCCTCTAGAGCAAGGATCTTCCACCCACCTCCCGCCTTTCCTCTCCACCACCTAGGAATTCATCCTCTCCTGCCTGGCCCGGGACCCTGCCCGCCGACCCTCTGCCCACAACCTCCTCTTCCACCGAGTGCTCTTCGAGGTGCATTCGCTGAAGCTGCTGGCAGCCCACTGCTTCATCCAGCACCAGTGTGAGAGGCAGAAGGGCTGGGGTGGGCCAGGAGGCTGGGGTCAGAATGTGGCAGGGTCTTTGCAGGACCCTTGGCTTGGGTCCATCTCCCTGAGCGGTTTTTGTGATTTGCAGACCTCATGCCGGAAAATGTGGTAGAGGAAAAGACCAAGGCAATGGACCTACATGCCGTCCTGGCTGAGATGCCCCAGCCCCATGGACCCCCAATGCAGTGGCGGTGAGCAGTGACCACATAAGGCTTTCCCTACTAGCTGCCTGGCTAGCCTTTAGCCTGACACTGCTCATGTACCACCCACTCCATTCTAGGTACTCAGAGGTCTCCTTCTTGGAGCTGGACAAATTCCTAGAGGATGTCAGGTGAGAGCTGGCATGAGACAGGAAAATCACTGTCAGGCCAGAGCCCCCAGCTATATACCCCCTGGTATATCTCCAGGAATGGAATCTACCCACTGATGAATTTTGCGGCTGCCCGGCCCCTGGGACTTCCCCGTGTGTTAGCTCCACCTCCAGAGGAGGCACAGAAGGTCAAAACCCCAACGCCAGAACCCTTTGACTCAGAGACCAGGAAGGTGAGTCCCGACTCCTGTTGAACCGTGCTGTCTTTCAGAACTGTCCACAGCCAGATAGTGGGTGCCTTTCTCGGGGGGAGGGGGAGCTCTGTCTCCCCATCCCAGTTCTCCTCCAGACTGCCAGAGACCAAACCCAAGCTGAGCCCTTTATGGACATGTAATCAAGCTGAGACACCCATTTCCCCAAGGCTTCTTGCTTTTGTAGCCCTTTCCCCGTCCTGTTGGACATCCCATTTTGAAGGCTTTGGCCATGTTCATTCCTCAACAGGATCCAGAGCCATTACCCTCCTAGCTCCCTTCCTTCCACAGTGCACCCTAAATTCAAATGCTAGTAGTCAAAGTGTCCTGGATCCTGGCTGCCCATAGAGCGACTCGAAGGCAGTGTGAGCCCCAGCCTCCTGGCCTGCTGGCATCTTGCTTTTCTGTGCAGTCACATCCTGGGACACAACATCCCCCTTCCCCCACTCTTTTCAAGGCATTCTGTTCACCACTCAGTACTCAAACCCAAGACCTTGTCTTGGAAGCCTTCGCTGACACCTCAGTGCTGGTGCAGCAGGATGAGCTTTCTGGGCCTCCCTTGGAGATGTTTAGCGTTTTTGAATCTCTGCTGATCTTTCTGGGCTCCTTTGCTAAGCGGTCCTCTGTGGCTAATGTAACGTCCCTGCCCTCAGGTGGTCCAGATGCAGTGCAATCTGGAGAGAAGCGAGGACAAGGCTCGGTGGCACGTGAGCAAGGGGCCCTGGGCAGGGCTACAGGGGGCTGGGGAGCAATCAGTGCTGGTGTGCCGGGGCCATGCTGACCATGCCATTGCCTCCGCATCCACAGCTCACTCTGCTTTTGGTGCTGGAGGACCGCCTACATCGGCAGCTGACCTATGACCTGCTCCCAAGTAGGCTGACAGGGGACCAGGCGGCGGCCTGGGGCTGGGGCTGGCGGGCGCCGGCTGGTGCCACCCCTCACTTGTCCTTTCTTCAGCCGACAGTGCCCAGGACCTTGCTGCTGAACTAGTGCATTACGGCTTCCTGCACGAGGTAGGCGGGGCGCACGGCAGGTTTGGAAAGGTGCAGGGTGACTCGAGCTGCCCACGACTCCCGTGTCCCCCTACCCATCCACTGCAGGACGACCGGACAAAGCTAGCAGCCTTCCTGGAGACCACCTTTCTCAAGTACCGTGGGACACAGGCTTGACCTTCCCAGTCCTGGCAGCCCAGCAGGGATACCAGGGCTTAGGGTTGTCCACTTGGCAAAGAGCGCCATACTGCTCAGAGCTGCCTTCTGCCTGTGTTTCCTGGAGCCAATGAACACAGGCCCTGCTAGTGAAGACACCCCCTCCCCCAGCTTTCCGCAGCAGTGTGGGTCCCGGGGTGGTGATGGAGTCCCAAGCCTGAATGGGAGTAGAGGATACAGGTCATTTAGGGGAACTTCCCCATCTGGTATTGGACAACAGCCATGCCTTCAAGTGACATAAAAACCTAGGGAAGGAGTCTGAACTCAAAAGTAATAGAGCCCCTTCGGGTGTCAAATGCAATACTGGGCATCAGGCAGACCAGACTTGGCTGGAGACTCAGAGGCTAGAGAGCTTGGAGTTGGATCCCTGGTCCCACCCAGAGCAATCCCGATCCCATGCATACCTGTCCAGAGTCCCCCTCACTGATCTTCCACACACTTGAGACCAGGACCTGTGTCCTCCCCAGAGTCCCCCAGCAGGATCAGCACGATCGTTCTGTTCTTCATTCTTGAACTGCCTGTCTTCCAGCTTCAAATTTAAAGTCTTAAATGTTTTTTAAATGTATGTATAAATTTAATGCATTCAAGTCCCTTCTTAAACAGTTCTTCATATATGAAACCAGGAAAGATCACTACTGTATTATTAATAGTTCCACATTGCTGCTGTCACATTTATCACAAACATAGTGGCTTGAGACAACACTAATACAGTTCTGTACATCAGAAGTTTGATACAGGCCCCCACTAGATTAAAACCCAGTCATCTGTGACTGAACTCCTTTCTGGAAAGGGGGGTAGAGTGGGGATGGGGCTCACCTCCTGCTCCTTCAAGCTATTGGTAGAATTCACTTCCTTGCTGTGGTAAGGCAGAAATTCCTACTTTTTTACAGCTGCCAACTAAGAACCCTTCTCAGCTTCTAGAAGCCACCAACTTTTCTTAATTCTCCTTCCACCTTCAAGACCAGCAGCGTCAGGTTGAATGTGTGTCCTGGACTAGCTGTCTGGTTTTCCACTGCCTGGAAGGTTGGGGCCTTTTGTGAGTAGGTTGGACCCACCTAGATAATCTAGGATGATACCCCCTCAGGGCCTGTAGCTGAATCACACTTACAGAGCACCTTTTGCTACAGAGACTAATCATCCTGGGGTTTGGTGCTTAAGAGAATGGACGTGGGCACACGCAGGGTGGGGGTGTTGCTGTGTTGCCTACCATACCATCTTAACCAAAACCAAAACCTAAAATAAAGCAGATTTGTCATGGAACAGCTAATAAATTGAATGAACACTGATTATGCATGGTCTCACATAGTTTATTTGGAAAATCCGTAACAGATTGTACAAGTGATTAACTTGAACTCAAAGGTGCTGTATTGTATCTTGTCTCTGTCCAGCTTATCTCTAGAGATAAGATACAATTTTATCTATCTTATCCAACTTGCCTGGAACTCAGTATCCAAACCTGGCCTGTGCAGTGTTTATTAGTGTGAGCCACCGTGCCTTACTGCATATTGTAGAATTGTTGGGGGCACAGGGTCAATAGTAAAAGACAAGTACAATCTTCTACCCTGGTTTTCCACAAATTTCAGTCTCTTAGCCTTAGCCTGGAGCTCATTCCATAGACCAAGCCTGCCTCAAACTCAGAGATCTACCTGTCTCAGACTCTCCAGTGCTGGGATTAAGTGTGTGCCACCATTCTATGCCACTAGCATGCTTTGGGTCCTGTTTATTGCCCTTTATATTTAGGTGTTCCCACATGGCAACTTGTCAGGCTAGTCACCTGCCCACCCCCTGAGCCAGCATCTTATGAGTCTGATGGGCATCAGAGCTGTCTGAGTTTCAGTCTAATTAGTGCCGGTCTCAGCAAGGAACAAGGTGTCCCAAGTTATAGTTTCTTTCTTGCACAACTTTTTGTTTTCTCTGAAGTTAATAATTTTCTTTTTTTTGCTTTCTTTTTTAGAAGCATTCATTTCTCTCTCTCGCTCTCTCTCTCTCTCTCTCTCTCTCTCTGTGTGTGTGTGTGTGTGTGTGTGTGTGTGTGTGTGTGTGTATACCATAGCACAGAAGAAGGCCAAAGGGCAATCTGTGGGAGTTTGTTTTCTTTCCACCATGTGGGTTCAATTGAACCCACATTATCAGGCTTGGTGCCAAGCCCCCTCGCCTGCTGAACCTCTAACCAGCTCTTCCCCTTAGCCTTAGCCTTCTCCATGTGTTTGCCATTAATTCATCACTGGGGTCCTCTCAATATTTAGGACCAAGTACAACTGACCACTGTTTCTCCTTTTACCGGCTCTCCGCTGTTCTGTTCTTGATTCTATGGCATACTGTTCTCTCTGGGCCCATGCGTTCTTCTTCCTTGACCTATGGAACCTGAAAAGAAACAGCCTTCAAATTGCCTGAGAAAAATATATGGGAAATTATGGAATCTTTGCCTGTTTGTCCTTATTCTAATCTTATACAGGATTGAAAATGTACCAGGGTACAAGAAGTTTGCTTAGTTGAAAACCCTTTCTCCTCAAGATTCAAGGGTGTCATGTTACATTCTTCTAGTTCCAGGAATTGCGATGCTTCTGAATTCTGACCTTTTCTGTAAGAGCTCCTCTGTCTCTCCTGCCCTTTCTTTGCCTGGTGTTTTGGAAATTATCAGGAATTCACCACTGTAAACAAAAAAAGAAAGAAAAATGACATTTTAGCGAACTATTTATTGATTTCTCTATTTCCTAGATAAATTATTGAGGTGTATATTTGTATTCCCTATTGTTTTACATTTATTTATCATGTGTTTATGTATATACACACGGATGCATGAGCTGATTATGAAAGGGCTTAAGGGCAGAAGTGAAGACTTCTTTCTTTTCATTATATCCCAACTGCAGTTTCCTCTTCCCTCCTTGTAACCTTCCCAGCCCTCCAGATCCACCGCTCCTCGGTTTCCCTTCAGAAAAGAGCAGGCCTCTGGAGATATCTCTGGAACACTGCATAACAAGATACAATAAGACTAGGTACAAACTCTCCTAAAAGGGCTAGGCGAGGCAACCCAGTAAGAGAAAAAAGGTCCCAAGAACAGGCAAAAGCATCAGAGACACCCCTATTCTCACTGTTATATGAGTCCCACAAAACACCAAGCTAATAACCATAACATATATGCAGAGGACCTAGTGCAGACCCATGCAGGTCTCATGATGGACGCTTCAGTGTCCTTCAGCCCTTAGGAGTCCTGCTTAGTTGATTCTGTGGGCCATGTTCTCCCGGTGTCCTCCACCTCCTCTGGTGCCTTCTTCTCCCTCTTCCTCAGGAGTTTCCCAGGTTCCAAGGGGAGGAACCTGATGGAGATCTCCAGTCTGGGCAATCTCTCTGCTGAGTGTTTGTCTTTGAGCTTCTGCATCTCCTCCCATCAGCTGCTAAGGAAGGCCTCTCTGATGACAGCTGGAATAGGCACTGATCTGGACTTCCGCCTGCCAGGGTGGCCTCTGGTAGAGCAGAGAGACAAGATTTATTTTCAAAAGCAATTCTGTGAAATTGTGAGGTTCAGGTATTTTACATGTGTAGGACTCAGGAGAGGGACATTGCCCATTGGTAACTCTAAGAAACTGGTCCAAGCTGGACGGTGGTTGTACACACCTTAATCCCAGTACTTGGGAAGCAGAGGCAGGAAAATCTCTGAGTTGGAGGTCAGCCTGGTGTATGGTCTAGTTCCATGACAGCCCGGGACACACAGAGAAACCCAGTCTGGGAAAAAGAAACAGAAAACCTAGTTCAGCTACCTCTGAAGCGATGGTGTTTACAGGGTGGACCACTCCATTAGAAGTGAATACAGGTTCTGTGGAGTGAAAGTAAAGCAAGGACAGGAAAATCAGTGTGGGGTTCTGGGCCATGCGTGGAGCAGGCATTCAGAAGCTGTTTTTGCTAAATCATTAACTCTTTGCTGACTCACAAGATAGCTGAAGCCGTCAAATGCTGTCATCATGCAGTCTCTTCTGGCTAGTTTTATATATATTAGTATATTATTTGTATTTTATTTTTATAGCTTTTATTGATATTTATTGAGCTCTACATTTTTCTCTGCTCCCCTCCCTGCCTCTTCCCTCCCCCCTTTAATCCTCCCCCAAGGTCCCCATGTCGCTAGTTCTTCTAAAGACGACAAATTCAACATCTCAGTGAATTTAGAGGTTTTAGCAGCTTGCGAAAGACCTTTCTGAAAAGTGTTATACGTTAGTATCAATGGAAGCTACCACAAGAGGGTGGTGCCTGAGGTTCCCCCTGGTGGGGAAACCAGGTGGTTCCCTGGTGGTAAGACTCAGCCTACTCAACACCCTGGGCTGGGGATTGCACCATTTTTAGAGGTTCTGGTAGGCCCATCTTGTTCTAAACCTTGAAGAATATTGACCAATGTGATTACAGTTTTTTTGGGGGGGGGCCTTTCAACTTTATTTTTGTTGGTTTTTCTTTTTGGTTTTTTGAGACAGGGTTTCTCTGTAGCTTTAGAGCCTGTCCTGGAACTTGCTCTGTAGACCAGGCTGGCCTCAAACTCACAGAGTTCCACCTGCCTCTGCCTCCTAAATGCTGGGATTAAAGAGGTGTGCCACCACTGCCCTCACCCGGCTGAGATAGGGTCTATTTACTACCTGGCTATCAGAGCTAAACAACTTGGAAAGTAAGACTAGGATGGCTTCCACTTTCCAGAGATCTGCCTTGCCCTGCCCTGAGTCTAAGCGCTGGAATCAAAGGTATGTGCCACCACATTCAGCTCAACTTTATTTTTCAATCTATTAACTTGCTTGTTTTCATATTTGCTTTTAGTTTTTCAAGACAGGGTTTCTTGGCTGCCCAGAAACTCACTCTGTAGACAAGCGTGGCCTTGAATTTAGAGACCTGCCTGTCTCTGCCTCCTGAGTACTGGGATTAATGTGTGTGTCGCCATCACCATTGGGTCATTTTCATTTTTCTCTTTGGAAGAAATCTCAGTCGGGGGTCTCTTTTTTGAGACAGGGTTTCTCTGTATAGCTTTGGAGCCTGTCCTGGAATTCACTCAGCAGAGTAGGACTAAAGGCATGTGACACCATCGCCTGGCTCAGTTGGTGGTCTTTATATTCTTGTTTTTTTGGATGCAACATCTTTTGGGTATCTTTGATTACACTGCTTTCTCAGTTTTGTTGTTTTGTTTCTCAAGACGAGGTTTCTCTGTAACAGTTCTAGCTGTCCTGGAACTAGTTCTTGTAGACCAGGCTGGCCTCGAACTCACAGAGAATGGCCTACCCCTGCCTCCCTCCCGAGTGCTAGGATTAAAGGCGTGTGCCACTACCAACTGATTTCAGTTACTGTCCTTATTCTTTTGCTTCCTTTATTCCCTTGGTTACTTCTGTGTCTTATTTCCTCACCCTTCCTTGCTTGGTGATTCTGGTTGGCTGGTTGTGCTTAAGAATGAGATGCTAAACCAGGTGGTGGTGGTGGTGTACGCCTTTAATCCCAGCACTCGGGAGGCAGAAGCAGGTGGATCTTTTTGAGTTTGAGGCCAGCCTGATCTACAAGAGCTAGTTCCAGGACAGGCTCTAAAACTAGAGTGAAACCCTGTCTTGAAGAAACCAAAATAAAATAATAAATAAAAATAAAAAAATGAAATGCTAAGCTGGGTCTCAGTGCTTCTTTTCCAGAGTGAAGCTAATTTGCAGCCACTGTTGGCAGAACCAGACCTTCTGGCACCATGTGGTAGGGACAGAAGAAGTCTTGAGGCAACTACGTTTTTGTTTTGTTTTTTCCTATCTGTGCTTTTCCGGAAATTCCAGACACAACCGTCAGAAACCAGTCTGCAAAGCCAGCGCCCACCCTTCCCTAACTCCCCAGCAGTCCACTTCTCTGCCCTCTTAGGCTTTGTTTTCAAAATAGCTCCTGTGCTATTAAAGGGACTCCGTAAGAGTAGGAAAACATTCTGCCTTGTTTTGCTAGAGATCTCTATATTAAATTCTAAAATTTACCGAAGCAGAAAGCAGAATGGCTATCGGGGGCAGCTGAAGGTGCCTGAGCTTATTTGGCGGTGTTTTGCAGGCAGCCTTGGGACTCGGTGAAACTCAAGACAAACGTCAGAGCAGCTCCTCCGCACACAGCACAGATGAACATATAGGTTTAAACATATACAACTTAGGACTTGGGGACCAGCGTGCACATTATGCCCACAGGACTGTATACACAACTGGCTGGGGAACCATCTCTTGGGTCCACCGGCATGTCATCCGTTTTAAAAGGCTACTCGTTCTCAAGGAAAGAGATTGTGTTTCCAAATAAATGCAGACTCCTGACTTCAGAGACGGACAACACAAAGATGCATCAGTTCTTTTGTCTCTTGTCTCAGATGTCAACGAACGGAGTCGAGAAGGGATCAGCCGCACTTTTTCGCTGCTTTCCGCGAGTGGATTCAACTAAAATAACGGTGCTGGTAAAATAGGCAGACGGAACTGATTCAAGAATGCTACAGGCCTCTCCAAGTCGCCACTCCCACACTCCCGCCCGCCCCGGCCCCGCCCCGGCCCGCCCCGCTCCGTTCAGTTTTAGTCCGGTGCGTTAGCTGCCTGCTCCGCCCCGGAAATGCGTTCCGGTCTCCGTCCACGTAGCTAGGGAAAGGTCTATCGCGAGAATTCCGCGTCCGGTGCCCAGATCGCGCGAGACTGCGGAGGGAGCTGGGGCTTGTGGCGCGCGCGGCGGCCGCGACGGACGCAAGATGGCGACGGCGACTATAGCTCTTGTAAGTGAGTCCCTCGCGGCCAAGGGCGGCAGTCAGCTGGTGGGAATGAGCCATAGGCCGGGCCAGGACGCGGAAAGCCCCTGGGTGCGTAGCGGCTTGACCCGGCCTTACACGGACCCTCTTGTGGTCCCCGGCACGCGGGGCGGGGGCGGAGCGGGCGCGCGCGGCCGCTGCCGCGGCTGTAGCTGTAGCTTCCGGCTCGAGGATTCCAGTTTCCGGCGGCTGGGCGGGGTGGGCCGACCGCAGGCGGCTGGGCTGGGTCCCCCGCAGAGCGGTCTTCGCTCTTCTGAAGTTGGACGACAGCTGTCTAGGCGGCCGGCAGCGTCAGGGAGCCGTGGCGCCTGCTCTGGGTCTCCGTGACTGCGCCTGTGTTGGGGACGCGGAAGGGGCGGACCCATGACATTTGCTCTGTGCCGTGGTGCACAGAGAAGCGGGTTTCCCATTTTGTTACCCCCACAATCCTCCCACATCTTTCGAGCAATTATTCTTCCCCTGGCTCTGTTGTAGAACCCGAGAGTCAGTGCCTGCCCTGGTCGCAGGTCTTGTGGGCGTCCTAAGACTGCTTACCCCATGTCTTGTGCTGGCGAGCCTCCGCCTGCTCCGCTCAGCTCGCTCCCTGGTCAGTCAGGAATATTCCGGGAGTGTCAGCCACCGGTCTTCCTACTTCAACCTTAGGAACCATTTATCTCTTGGACCTAACCCCACTGCAACCAGCTTTTTATTAACTGTCACCCTCACCAAGAATGATGGAACAAGGTCTGGGAAGACTTAAGCAGGATTCGTCGGGTCAAGTTATACCCGGGCTGCTAGCTGGGAGCTGCACCCTCATACTTGGGAAGGGACACCTGCCCCAGTTTGTGAGGGATAGAGCTAGAGTATGCCACTCACATCATGGCTAACTTTTTAACAAACCAAAACAAAACCATGCTCCGCTGCTTGAAGCTACAGGAGCAAATGGGCTTTGTGGAGAGACAGCCAGATTGTTGAGTACTAGGTGACAGTCCTGTCCGATGATAAAAAGGAGAGAGACAGGTATGAGATACTCTGAACAGCACTGGAGGAGAGTGGATGCCTCGTTTCTGAGTAACCGCCAACTTTCATGCAGACTGAAGGGTTAGCTGGGGGCAGCTCTACCGATGGGCTCGAGATGGGCATGGTCAGTAAGTCTCACCATGGAAGCAGTTTGAATAGTCTTTGCCATCAGTTGACTATGAGGCCCCTAGAGTTGTCTCTCTCTCTTCCCTGTTTTGCTGCATCCACAGTGCTCAGTACAAGCCTGGCTACCCAGGAAGCAGCACTGCACCCTGTGAAGGGACCTGGACAGATGGAAGACAGCGTCCTGCAGCCAGTCCCATTCTAGGGGCCTGGCACTGCTATCAATGGTACTAATAACTGCTAGAACCTATGACTTCCCAGACACTAAGGGACTTCATGGAAGATGATTCTGTAAAATCTTCGCTGCTGCCTGAGAGATAGGCCATCCCCCTGCACAAGAGGAGCTTGAGGCGTAGATTTTAGGTGATTTGCCTCAGGTTATTTAATGTGTCTTATAATGGAAGTAATTCTTTGTTCTGAGCTGGTGAAGGGCAGAGCTTGGCTTATGCACCAGAGACGCTCAGCAGCACTGTTCTTCAGGGGGACTCCCCCTCTCTTGATGCACCACTGCCTGGGTTGGGGAGCATTGTGACTACAAGGCCTGCTGGTTTTTCATTGCCCAAGGTGACAGCTTGTGACTGTTAGGTCTTGAACCTGGGACAATTGGCTGAGATGCATATTAGTGACTAGCTGTGTTAACAAATGATCGTTTTCTCTAGGTGCTCCCGATGACTGGTTAAAACAGAATTCTAGACTCGGGGAACTCTCTCCTCGGGTAATGGGCTAAATTGGGTGGTTTTCTTTTGTAGCGTCCATAGGTAAGCTTTCCCTGGAGTGCTCATATGCATTGTCTGTGACTTTCAGCACTATCCTTGTTCTGGGTGACTATTAATTTGGAGAGGCAGGAAGTTATACATAGCCCCATATTCAACCTTCTCACCAGTGTGTGGCTAGTGCCTGAAGCATGCTTTCTCTGTAGGTGTTGAGAAGCAGCTTCTGTTCTATAGGTGCCTGTGCCAAGGAGTCGCCCTTCCATTAGTTTTCTCTGGAATACCATTTCTAAGTCACAGTGGAGCTTAGCTAGGCAGTAGTGCACATTCATATTGGCAACACCGGGAGCAGCTCCAGGTACAGGCTGGGTCAGCCATAGTCTTTGCAGTATACTAGGCTGCCCCTTCTTTAGTAGTCTGATGACCTGCTAGGCTCATCTTGTCCTCTGACTTTGTCTCCAAGATTGGGCACAACCATCTGTCTGTCTTTTGATATATGAGGAACATGTTCTTGAGCTGATGGTAGTGAAAGCACTTTCTGACTTCTGTTCACACTGCAATCTCTGAGAAGCTAGGGTAGGTTTAAGGGCTCTTCCATCACATCATTCTACTCCTTACCATATTGCCCACCTCTGCCAAGGTGTCAGGTGGCAGGGGCCACTCTTCTAGGCCATGTTAAGAGTTCTACCTCCTGAGCACTGCCTTTGGACACCAGTGTTCTCTTTGTCTCCTGGGGTGGGTCTTAACCAGTGTGGAGAACTAAATTCTCATCTGTCTTCTTAGGGCAGTTTTGCACTTTGTCTGCTGAATGAGGGAAGCCTAGATTGGAGCAGAGCTTGTGGAATTACTGGAGTAAAGGTTGAGCTTAGAGGCCTGGCCCAAGTGTGTATAGAGTTTGATAGAAGCAGTGCTCCTGCTGCCTGGGGAAGGATGAGAGGATACAGCCAGCTGGTCACCCTGTCTTCTAATCTGGCTCAATCTGTCAGCAGAAAAGGGTGGCTTTTCTTGGCCTTGGGCTGGAACACTGCTTGCGCTCTCTCCTTTTCTTTTTGTCCCTTCCAGGGAGACTGTCAACTTAGGCCTGCTCCAGCTGCTGCTCTGCTTTCTGTCAGTACCTTGGGTGGCTGCATATGTGCTGTCAGGGTAGAAGGGCAGTACAAGATGGGGTTGATGCTGGAAATAAACTCAGCTAACCTTAAACCCTTGCCCAGCCTCCCTTGTTCTAGATGGGAAAGGCAGCCTTCAGCTTTGGAAGATGAGAGGGTCTGGGTGATGGGTGTGCTTGACTGTTGGTTACATTTCCTTCCTGTCTGCAGCAGGTCAATGGCCAACAAGGAGGGGGGTCTGAGCCAGCGGCAGCAGCCGCAGCAGCGGCGGCGGCAGTGGTGGCAGCAGGAGACAAATGGAAACCTCCACAGGTATTAATCTTAAACATCTTTTCCCTCAGGCCGCCTGCCTGCCCATGCATCCTTAGGCCTAGAGAGACCCGACTGGGGCAAATTGGACGTGTGGTGGGGGACTCCAGTGACCAGCCTCTGCCTTCTGGGCACACAGTGTCCACAGGACTGGGGCCTAGCCTTGCCCCTCCTTGGCCTGTTTCTGTTTTGTCTCTTGCCTGTAAGAGTCCATCTAGCCTAGGCCGGGCAGGGCCTGGCAGTTGGCTAGCCAGGCAGCAGGGGGAGGAGATGGGGATGGTTGGAATAACTACAACCCAGCCCTCAGTGATTCTGGCTTTGAGCCATTAGCATTGTGCAGAAGGATGGGCCCTCTGTTTCAGAATGGCAGTGTTGTGTCTAGAGCCAAAAATAGGGATTTTCATTTAGCTCTTTGTTTTCATGTAAGTAAAACAACAAAATAACATGTAAGTCAAAGCACACGTGTCTTGGGGGACACCCCCTCCCCCCTGCTTCTTTGAGCTTATGGGTGGGTGTGGATGGATTTTGTTCTCTCATCACTGGCCCATGGGAGTAAGTCTTCTGGGATGTGAAGCTGGGCTCTGTTGTTGCTAGGTGATAGATTCTTTATTCCCACCTTCACAGAGTCCCCCAAGGTTTCAACAAGATAGTGTGGTGGCCTTTGACTAGACCTTCTAGGCACTGGTGTGTGTGTGTCGGGGGGCAGACAGAGATGTTGGTATGCAGCCTGGGATCTTGGGACATTGTGGGAGCTGAAGCTCTCTGTCCTGACTGGCTGGCCAGTATGCCATTGGTTGGTGGGAGAAGGGCCTTTTGTTCACCAAGACAAAGAAGAGATTGAAAAGTTTCTAGGGGGCCCGAGAAGAACTGGCATTTATTTCCATGGTGACAGCCTACTCTAGTGTCACAGCCTCATAGACCTGGGGCCAGCTGAGAGGGCAGAGGACACATCTAGTATGAGCCAGACTGCAGCCCTTGGTCCCATCTCTTGAGAGACTTTGGGATCTTCTTGGGACTCTGCCCTGGGGAGGGGGGGATCTTATAAGCTCCCTGCCTTTTGACCCTTGACCAGAAACTCAGTACTCTGGCATCCATGATGAGGTTCATGGGGTTTGAGTCAGCTAGACCCTGCCTGCCTCCTTTGTGCTTTAGTCCTTGCCTGTTACTCCTATGCTATACGGAGGGCCTTCCTCTCTGCTGTTGCTCTCAAAGGTTGTGTCTGAAAGCCTAGAAGAGTCCCCAGAGGTATTTTGAACTGGAAATGTGTGCTGGCTCTGTTTGTTACTCCCAGGGTCTGCTGGCTCTGACATTGGGTTTTCCCTGTTTACATGGCTCTTTCCCTCTCCTGCAAACAGCTTGAAAATGGCTTTGATAGGAGTAATGTAAACAATTCTGGTAGCATTCGATCATGTCTACAGCAAGTCTCAAGCCCTCCTCTAGCCAGTGGCACATGTTCTACATTC